AAATATGCGCGCCCAGCAGTCGCCCCACGGTTGTCAAAGAATAGACTGGATCCTAATCAGGTGCTTATTTCCCTCGTACAACCAGAACCTAAAGCGGGCATAGAGCCGCTAACTTACACCGCTTGGCGAGCTTGGGGCGTCCTTAAGCCAGCGGCTAACAGGAATCAAAATTTTGATGTGGTAGATTCCTGCAGCGACCCCTTTTAAAACCATGTGAAATATATTGGAAGTACATACATGGATAACACGTTTGACCACAGCGGGAAACAATTAAAGGTAACTAACATGAGAATACTATTTCAATTTTTCACAGATGTACATCACCCGAGGTCTGTGTAGGCGATAGCGTCCAAGGCGAAGCTGAGGGCGGTCTGGCTGATGCCGTTGAGTGCAGTACACTTTACAGACTCGCGAAATTTCGAAGAGCCGTCGTCGTGGATCCTAAAGCACGGCGATGTGCGGGAAACGTGAGGATGCTACGTGAATTTCTTTACGATCGTTGCTTCGACCGTCGACGAAATCACGGGGATGGAATCGGTTTCTTCGGTGCAGGACGTTCGCCGATGGCTACGAATCGGTTTCTTCGGTGCAGGACGTTCGCCGATGGCTACGACTAGAAAATAGTCTATTCTGTGCTGATTCTCCGAAGGCGTACTAAATTCTTCTCTGATGTCCTACTCAATAAGACGAGACTTCACCGGAATACTGTCCTTTACACTTCACTCTATCGATCACACTGGAGAGTCTCCAACACGAGACTTCCTCACAGAACGCACGAGACTTCCTTCCAGCACGCCGGCTGACCATCACTGAGCTCCCTCTTCTTCTACCTCCCGTCTTTTATAGCCCCGTTCGCTACCCGCGTACGTGATGCGTCCTACCCCCGCTTTGTTTTGAATTTTAAACCGTCGGCTTCCATCAGTCTTCAATGGTTCTACATATATTAACAATTTTGAGATACTATGAATTTCTATACGAATCAGATTGACATTTATTCCAGACCCCTTGAGCCGCGGCCATATGGAGAAGAACGAGCCGACGGTGGCTGCGATCCAACGCTCCAATGTCCAAGTAAATAACCATACCATATCTGCTCCCACATATTTACACATCTCGAATATCCTTCATTCCGAACAAGACTAAGTATTGTGGTAGAAATGGTCAATGAACTTTGAGGCATGTTAGTATTATTGCCAGGAATGCATCGCAAAATCATAATTTGGATGCAAAATTTAGTCAGCCCTGTATTTCTCATGATATTTGTCTCGTATGTTTTTTCCTTTTGTAGGACGTTGACGGTTCTCCTTCGGAAAGAGAGGCAATAATGAACAATTTCTTGACTGAGAAGGAGAAGCCAAATCTTATGAATGGAGTAAGTTTTGATCATCTCAAAAGCATAGGTGGGCAGTAGCGCGCTACATGTAGCGGCCGCTACTAGCGGCCGCTACTAGCGGCCGCTACATTTTCAGTAGCGGTAGCGGTAGCGGCTCTACATTTAAGGCAATGTAGCGGTAGCGGTAGCGCCCGCTACATATTTAAGTAGCGATACGAGGTTTTGCCGCTACAGCGCTACCGCTATAAAATTGTTAGGAATAATTACAAAGTCACAAAATAAACGTTAACGAAATAAAAATGTCCATCGGTAACCTGATTTTCGATTTGCCAGTTCAAACGAAAAATATTGTTCGATATATTGAAAAAACTAATAAGAAAATTGCGAATAAAACAAATTCTCTGGTCTTCAATGAAACCTGCTTGAAAGAATAAATATATATATATATTCATTTTACATAACTTTACAACTGCATTACGCAAAAACTATTGCACGAACATCCATGGTAGTAGCTTTGTTAAACGCGTCTTGTTTGTAGCTTTCCAACTAGTGCAAACACTTTGTAATTAACGAGAGTAATGATCTATATATACAGATTTAATTCAAATAAATCTTTGCACATATTGTTAAAAATGTTCATATATATATTTTTAAAATTGTCTTACGCAAAAATTATAGCACGCACAGACATGCGGTAAACTTCGTTAGACGCGCCTTTTCAGCAGCTAAAAAATGAGTCAAGAAAAGCCGAAATTTCAGATTTTTAGGGTAGCCGGTCCCCTTAATAGTATTAAATATTATTTAAAAACCAGCATGATACATACATAATATAAATTACAGAATAAAACTGTACGACAGATTTCGGTGTAATGTTGTCAACCTCAGCCTGTTACTAGTGTCAACATTTTAGTTGTTACCTGTTAAGTTGTTACCAGTTACCACTTAATTACAGGTTTTTTTCGTCTTTCAGTTTGCTTACAGTTATTTTTACACAGTTATTTTTATGTTTCACCTTCCCTACATGGATGTCTACTTTAATCTACCAATCTCAAAAATAATCCACATATATATACAAAAAGACTGTGTATATGTGGATGTGTATTTATGTGCATATGTGGATAATTTTTTAGATTGGTAGATTAAAGTTCACATCCATATAGGAAAGGTGAAACATAAAAAACTGTAACTTTTATTTACTGTATCTAACCCATACTTGTTCGGTTAGGTTAATTGCAATAAAGTTGCATTGATATGTTTTAAAAATGTTTTATTATCATTAAATGTTAATGAGTAAATCCCAATAGCAGAACAATAAATATTAAGAGATTTCTAATAATTTTGCCATTGTAGCGGCTAATGTAGCGCGCTACATTTTACTGTAGCGGTAGCGGTAGCGCCCGTTACAATCTAGTGGATGTAGCGGTAGCGGTAGCGCCCGCTACATTTAGAGCATGTAGCGGTAGCGGTAGCGCCCGCTACATTTAGAGCATGTAGCGGTAGCGGTAGCGCCCGCTACATTTAGAGCATGTAGCGGTAGCGGTAGCGGCGCTACATTTCAAAGTAGCGCTGCCCAGCTCTGCTCAAAAGCAACAGTAATGGTGTAAAGCCACGTCCTGTTAAGGGCCTGATGATCGCAGCCATTGTTCTGTTAACAGGGGTACTACTGTGAGTTGCTCTCAGGCTTTACGGATACGTTCAAAGTTGTAAGCCCTCACACGATGTGATATCACACGCGGTATTAATGACGTGGGCGAGTGATAGGGTACGAAACGGAAAATAGTTCCGTATCATAGAAAATGACAAAAAAAACAATTAGTTCGAAGCATCAAAGTAGGAAATGCCGTGCATTGGTGATTCTGAATATTTGGAGTGCTTAAACGCTCAGCCGTCGCATTTCTTTCAACTCGACTAGCAATGAAGAGAAATAAATATGCGAAGAAGATACATTCGATTTCAGGACATTCAAGAAGATTCATTATGCAAGCGATTCACTTGTTGACTTTAAATACGACAAATATAAGAAGTTTGATTTACAGTATTCTCATCCAATCTGATGCATTAATTGTTTGAGGTGCGACTGTGTACATTTAAGATTGCCGCTGAGGTTAACCTGTTGTCTACTTCCCTAATTACAACACTTCTTTTTAACTTCACTTCATGTTTGTCTGTTTGTCTGTCTGTCTGCTACAAATCTTGTAATCGAAATTTAATACACTTCTACTTACCCTATCTATCTGAAATTTTGCACACCTGCGTAAAGTTAGAGACAATGCATAAATCAAATGACAAAATAAATAATTTTTGGATTAAAAAATTGTTTTTTCCAATATTAAAAAAATTTTAAAAATAATTTCGTCAGCTACAAATCTTATAACCGATATTTCACACACTTTTAGCTGTCCAATTGATCTGAAATTTTGCACACTTGTGTGAAGTTGGAGGCAATGCATGAATCAATTGACAGAATAAATAATTTTGAGAAAAAATTGTATATTTAAAAAAAAAAATTGAAAAATTAATTTTTTTAATATTCGAAAATGAAATGAGAAATTCATTGTACATCTGTAACATTGGAGACACTTGATTCTTGAGAAGAGTGTCTTTAAAAAGTAATTTTTAAATGTAATTTAGTTTTTAATTTTCAGTTATAAGTTTTTAGTTTTTAGTTTTTAATTTTAATAAGAGAATTGGTTCGCAGAACGAAGCCAGAAGGAAACGAGAAGCGCGCAGCGCGACGAGGAACTCGTGCACTGTAGAATACGTACGCACATATAAGTACAAGTTCGAACGTTAACAGTGTAGAACACAATATTTAATTTCAGTTGAATGAGTCACTGTTTCAGGGTGAATATGTCTCTCTCTCCAATTCTCACCATATATTGCCGGTGGCAACAGTACGTATAAGCAAGGATAAGTTCAGTTCAAAAATCAAAAACGACAGAGTTGAAGACCAAGTAGAGGCGGTTAGGTTGATTCTTATCTGAATAAGACAGAAAACCAACTTAAGCCTAAAATTAATGGAATCAAAGTTATACCGCAATGGATTTCAATATGATTCAAGAATAATGTTTGATTCGAGAATAATATAAATTCAGAATAATGGTAACAGTTTGAAATCTAAATAACAAACCTATTTGTTTCCGTTGAGGAACCCTAGACAAGAGTTCTCATGTAGAGAACTATTAGAAAGAAAATAGTGAAAACAGTATAAGGAGTGTTCGCTCGTACCTAAAGAGTTAAAGCGCATGCAAGCATGCAAGTTAATTCACAGCACTAAGGCATGTGACATAATCGGTATAAACCGAAGCTCCAAGGAGCCAATAACCCCTACGGGTTCAAAGCACTGGCGTAAAGCCGGTAAAGCAAGATCTTAATTAAACGAGCGAAACACAGAAGTTCTAACATGCATTAAATTGAACAAAATAAAATGAAAACACACTCGCACAAACTCAAATTAAGGTATAGATAAGCAAGAGTTAACAAAATTGGTATTACTGTTTGAGCAAGAGGTCTTCACTCAGGTAAGGTTAAAGCAATATTAACTAAGATCGAGCTAACGAGCGTCGACTTTGCCTCCTAACACGCGACAAACGATAAGCGTATAAACATGAACCGAGTTAATTAGTTATAAATTTTAACATATTCCGGGCCAGCCAAAGCCGCAATTTTAATTGCAATGGCGTAGCCTCTCCTTGCAGCGCACGGCCGCCGCACGCTCGGGACGTTCAACGGCAGTCGGCACCTCCGCTTCCGCTTCATCAGCAGCCTCGTCTGCTGAAACAGACGACAAAGATAATTCTAATGGTTGTAAAAGATTAATAGAGTAATTTCCTTCAGACTTGTCAGCTCTAACAAGTCTAACTGATCTGATTTTGCCATTGCTTCCTCTAAATAGCTTAACAACTCTACCTAGCTCCCACAATGGCTTAATTTTAGTTTCAGAACTAATTAAAACAATGTCTCCTACTTTAATTTTATTCTCCCACCCATCTGAATACAAATTATTTCCAGTCTCCCGCAAAGACAAGAGGTACTCCTGATACAAGAGGTCCCTAAATTTGTCCAAGCGATCGTCTCTCCTCACTAACGCTTCAAGAAGCTCCTCTCTACCTACAGCCCCTGACGATGTCCCAACTGCTCCTGAAAAAAACCAGGCTTTTTCCGACATCAAACATCAAGAAACTGTTTGGCGTTACAACTTCCCTTAGATCTTCAGAAATTCTGTAAGTGAGGGGACGTGAGTTGATGGCAAACTGTACATCTGATAATAAGGTAATGAATTCAAAATAATCTAGACCTTTGCGGCCAACAGTTTTGTACAAACAACCTTTAATGGTCCTGATCATGCGTTTCCAAGCTGACCCGACCCATGCACTGTATAACGGGATTCTAATATGCTTCATGTTGTTCTTCTGAAGATAATTATTGAAATCATCATATGCAGAATTCCCTAATACTTTAGCTGACTTAATAAAAGTGCTAGCATTGTCACTGTAAATGGCATCTGGGATACCGTAGCAATTACAAAATCTAGTAAATGCCTGCAAGAAATCACTAACGGACATGCTAGGTACTAATTCTAAATGAATAGCTCGAATACTAAGGCACGTTAAGACTTATAAATACATTTTCACGAAAGAGTTTCCCAGCTTGACATGAAAATGACCAGTGTAATCAACACCAACATTCTTAAAAGGTCGCAAGTAATTGACTTTACCGCCAACAAAATAAGTCTGTCGGGGATATTTGAATGCCCGACTGTTCAATTTACGACACGTTATGCACTGCGCTAACACGCGTTTGATTACTGAGCGACCCGCAGGAATCCAAATCCCCGAGTTTCGCAGAAAGTTTAATGTGGAACCAAGTCCCAAATGTTTGCATCTGAAATGAGCATCCCAAATGAACAAATTAGTGAGGTGACTATTTTTAGGCAAAAGCAATGGGTTTCTAACATCGTCAGCGAGGTAAGTGCATTTTTCGAGCCTGCCACGTGAGCGTAGCACACCCGACTCGTCCAAAAACAAATTCAAATTGTTGACCAACACTGGAGGTTTAATTTTACCTTTGGACTGCAAAAACTCAATTTCAGGCCCGAACGAAATGGATTGCTTGTGCTTTACCCAATACAACTTAGCCTTCTGAATGGCTTCAGCTTCGTCTTGGGCACTGCGTCTAAGCTGGGCAACAAATTTCAAAACCAAAGCGGTTATGCGAATCATCTTGTGCAAGTTAGAATACTTATCAGTAGGGAAAATTGGTTCTGGCACACCTGCAACCGCTGAGCCAGTTGGCAGAGTACTTTTGTCCTCTCGTCCCTGCAAAGCAAAGTTAGAGGCCAAAGCCCCATTAACAGGCGACAAACAACCAAGCTCACGCTGGGGCCAAACAAAAGTTGACGAGAGGAAATCTGGACCATGGATCCAGAATTGGAACTTCTTCTGAAATTCGACAATATTAACATCTCTGGTAACCAAATCTGCTGGATTGAGTTCGGTAGGAATGAACCTGAACTTTGCGTCTAGCCCGTACTTTTTCTCTAGTTCTACTCGAAATTCAGAAATGTCTTTAACTCTGTTCCTCGCGAACACATTCTTGGCCTTGACTTTGTTCGTCAAGATCCAAGACAGCACAATCTGCGCATCAATGCCAAATGTTACTGAAGATACTTTAAATTTTTCGCTCTCCAAAATGGAAAAGAGACACTTGAAGGCCAAAAACACAGCAAGTAATTCCAAAGTTGGAACAGATTTTGATTTAATTGGAGCAATCTTATTCTTAGAGAAAATCAAGTTAGAATTGCAATGATCATCATACTGCTGAACTGCATACATTGCACAGCCATAAGACGTTTGTGAAGCGTCAGAAAATAAGATTAAAGATACCTCTTTATCAGAGTCAATGGTTTTGCGCTGGAAGGAGAAATTAGTCAACTGTTGAACATTAGACGATATTGTCTGCCATTCCTGACAATGCTCTTCATTAAGAGGGTCGTCCCATGCGTATTTAGCAAGCCAGAGTTTCCTCAGAAATATCTTACTAGATACTAAAGCAGGGGTCACAAGTCCCAGGGGATCGAACACTTTAGCCAACTGAGACAATACTTTCCTCTTAGTTGCAGTACCCTCCGTAGATACCGGACTCATTCTGGATACGCACATCGTGTCCGTCGCAGGATAATACTGGTAGCCAAGGACCTTCTCACTGCTACTCCCGTGATCTGTACCACAACGGTCATTGTGAAATTCTCTCTGGAGAGCAGCGTTGTTGGACACCCAACTACGTAAAGTGAACCCACCATCAGCCATTCTGGAAGTGGTCTGATGGTACATCTGCAACAAACTCTCGTCATCGTTACCTGTGAAAAACAGATTGTCAACATACATGTTCTCGCGTAAGACACGAGAGCAGACGTCATCAGGATATTTCTTCACATGATGCTGAATGACGAAATTAAGGACAAATGGTGAACAAGACAAACCGAAAACCAAGGAAGTATATCGGTACGCTTTAAGGTTGTTGTTGGAATCTCTCCACAAAATTGAGAAGCGGTTGCGATCAACCTCATTCTTAAGTTTAATCATTAGAAATGCCGATTTGAAATCGGACATAACTAGGTAATCATTTGACCTGATGTTAAGAAGTAATCCAAAAAGTTTGTTTAATAGGTCTACACCTGGAAACGCTGCCTCATTCAGAGACGAGGAATCCCCAATCTTAAGACTGCAATTCAATACAGGGCGAATCTTTTTGGTGACTTGAGCCTCCTCTCTAACAACCGGTCTGTGTGTAATCCAAATGTGATCATTCACGTCAATTTCATCTAGCGGAAGTTCCTCAAGAACTCCGTCTGCAAGCTGCTTAGCGAACACCTTACCGTAGGCGTCGCGCATACCGGTCTTGTCGAGCCGCTCTATCACTCTCCCAAGTACAGCCTTGGCAACTTTAAAGTTTGGTTTAACATCAGCAATTTTATCAGGCCACCAGGGTATTTCAACAAAATATTTACCATCTTCTAGAACCAAAGACTTCTCAAAGTTGTCAAGGTGAGAAGCGTCAGAATTGGCAATTTCATTGTTAGTTTCTTTAATTCCAATAGAATCCAATTTAAACAGATTGTCCAAGTGGCCCTCAATTTCACTGTCTTTGGCAATACTAGCAATAGGATCTCGCATGTGCAGACGGGATCCAGAACAAAATTGACCAATGATAACGATACAGAACAATCTGACACTGCACTTGAAACCTCCCCAAGTGAAGCAATCTGACTTGAAGTTAAGAAATTCTCTACATCTCCAAAGGGAGTAAGTTTACCTGCTAATGAAAATGCACTGCCTCTTAAGCACGGAACTACACGGAAATCTTTCAAGAACTGCAATACATCTATTCCTAATAAACCTTCCAGTTCTACTGTGTCTCTACAGTTGGTGAAGGAGCTGTCAGCCAGAGGTGTAATCCGAGAAATGTTCTCGCTAACTAATCCTAAGCCCTTCATGGCAAAGGTCAACCTGAACTCGTCACTGACAAGAATAGGTAGCTGAACGCGACCTCCAGCTTCTTCTAAATCAAAAAGCAAACTAATTTCTGAGAACTGTCTAACCCCACTCTTAAGAAAAGTATTAATTACAAAGTCCTTTTTAGTCCTATCCTGTGGTACACCTAGCTTATCTAACACCCGGTTATAGTGACGTAAGACTTCTGACTACCGGTGTCAATCAAAAATCTATCCTTAGTTTTCTTGTAACCACGGGACACTGTCAAAGTAATGGTTGGCAAAAGATGAGAGGAATTTAAGCACCAGTTTACTTTACTGGAAGGAGTTTCTTTTGACTTTTCAGAATTACATTTAAATTTAGGACACAAAGCTGAAATGTGGGTTTTCTTGCTACAAAAACGACACGGATAATCTAGGTTAGATGGACAAGAAGGCTTCATGTGCTTGGAACTTGAACACAAAAAACACAACCCTAACTCTTTACATCTAGAAATTCTACTNTGGAATGATTGGCTGCGCCACAGAACTTACAAGACTTGCTTGAAACACCTGCTGCCGAATTCACAAGAACTGATCTTTCGTCAGACAACGTACGGACAGGTTTTGCATCAGAGGCTTTGTCTTTTGGTTCAGCGGGCTTAATAGCTGAAGTATCCTTACGCAAGTTAAGCTTTCTAATGATCTCTACGTAGTTGTCAAAAATCTGATCTAAGCTAGGATAGTTGGTGTCTAATCTAATAATGAATTCATCCCTAACAATGGCAGGCAACTTGTGAAAATCCAAATGGCTAATAAACTCTGCAGAAGCTTCGTTGCTTAACAAATCACGCTTATAATGTTTCAGATCACTTAATACGCAACGAACTTCATTCAAAAAAAGTTTAGTTTCAAGAAAAGTATTATCAGGTTTAGGTTTCAATGCAAGCAGCTTCTGGTACAGATCATCAATAACGGCCTTACGGTTCAAAAATTCAGATTCAAGCAATTTTAAAGCAACATCATAATTTTCATCGTTAACCTGCAAATGCTGCAGAACTTTGTGGGCATAGCCTTGCAAATAAGTTTTTAAATAGGTGAATTTGGCTGAAGGCGAAAGAGTTTTACGGTGACCAATGCAGTTTTGAAGTTGCATAATGAAAGCACTGAACTCCAAATGACTAGCACCTTCCCCTGAGAATACCGGGCAGCTAAGATTAGGCAATTTAAGTTCAAAAGCAGTTTCGTTGACTTTGCAAGTTTGAGCTGATTTTTCTAAAGCGGCAATTTTAGTGGTAACCTCAATTAAATAGGCACTCTGACTTTCTAGTTCATTATCAAATTCCTCGGAAAATTCCGAAGAAACTCCTTGCAAGGATAAGATGGCGTTAATTTGTTCATCGACTGATTTTACATTTGACAACAGATCTTTAATGGAGGCAATAGCAGAACTCACCGCTGATTCAGGCGATTCATCCAGCATCTTAAGCAGCATGGTGATCTGACGCTTACGAACGGCCCTACTACGCCTCAGCTGCGTCAAGCCAACCTCGCTCCTTTCCGAATCGCACATTTCAGCAAATTAGGAGTTCAAGCTAGAAAAAATGGATTAATGCAAATGCACAGGATCGAAATGAGAGAGAGACCAGTGACTAACAAATAGATAAGAATTATATTGAATTTTGGTACAATTGGAAATCAAAAAACAAAGAAAGCGTTGAAACTTTTATTGTGGATCCGCCAAGAGAATTGGTTCGCAGAACGAAGCCAGAAGGAAACGAGAAGCGCGCAGCGCGACGAGGAACTCGTGCACTGTAGAATACGTACGCACATATAAGTACAAGTTCGAACGTTAACAGTGTAGAACACAATATTTAATTTCAGTTGAATGAGTCACTGTTTCAGGGTGAATATGTCTCTCTCTCCAGTTCTCACCATATATTGCCGGTGACAACAGTACGTATAAGCAAGGATAAGTTCAGTTCAAAAATCAAAAACGACAGAGTTGAAGACCAAGTAGAGGCGGTTAGGTTGATTCTTATCTGAATAAGACAGAAAACCAACTTAAGCCTAAAATTAATGGAATCAAAGTTATACCGCAATGGATTTCAATATGATTCAAGAATAATGTTTGATTCGAGAATAATATAAATTCAGAATAATGATAACAGTTTGAAATCTAAATAACAAACCTATTTGTTTCCGTTGAGGAACCCTAGAAAAGAGTTCTCATGTAGAGAACTATTAGAAAGAAAATAGTGAAAACAGTATAAGGAGTGTTCGCTCGTACCCAAAGAGTTAAAGCGCATGCAAGCATGCAAGTTAATTCACAGCACTAAGGCATGTGACATAATCGGTATAAACCGAAGCTCCAAGGAGCCAATAACCCCTACGGGTTCAAAGCACTGGCGTAAAGCCGGTAAAGCAAGATCTTAATTAAACGAGCGAAACACAGAAGTTCTAACATGCATTAAATTGAACAAAATAAAATGAAAACACACTCGCACAAACTCAAATTAAGGTATAGATAAGCAAGAGTTAACAAAATTGGTATTACTGTTTGAGCAAGAGGTCTTCACTCGGGTAAGGTTAAAGCAATATTAACTAAGATCGAGCTAACGAGCGTCGACTTTGCCTCCTAACACGCGACAAACGATAAGCGTATAAACATGAACGAGTTAATTAGTTATAAATTTTAACAATTTTTAATTTTTAATTTTTAATTTTTAATTTTTAATATTCAATTTTTAATTTTTAATTTTTAATTTTTAATTTTTAATTTTTAATGTTCAATTTTAATTTTTAATTTTTAATTTTTAATTTTTAATTTTTAATTTTTAGTTTTTATTTTTTAGTTTAGTTTTTAGTTATCAGTTTTCAGTTTTCATTTTCTAGTTTTTAGTTTTTAGTTTTTGTTTTTTGGGTTTTGGTTTTTGATTTTTTGCTTTTAGTTTTTAGTTTATTAGTTTTTAGTTTATACAACACTTCTCTTTAACTTCACTTCTTGTTTGTCTGTCTGCTACAAATCTTGTAATCGAAATTTATTACACTTATATTTATCCTATCGATCTGAAATTTTGCACACATGCGTAAAGTTGGAGACAATGTATGAATCAAATGACAAAATAAATAATTTTAAAATTGAAAATTTTATTTCAATATTAAAAAAAACTGAAAAAATACTTTCGTCAGCTACAAATCTTATAATTGATATATGACACACTTTTACCTGTCCAATTGATATAAAATTTTGCACACTTGTGTGAAGTTGGAGGCAATGCATGAATCAATTGACAGAATAATTAATTTTCAAAAAAAATTATATATTGAAAAAATTAAATATTTTATTTTTTAATATTCAAAAATAACATCAGAAATTCAGTGTACATCTGTAAAAATTAATTTAAAAATTAATTTTTAAACGTATATTATTTTAGAGCTGCTTTTACAATGTCTTCTGCATCTGCATTGTGATTGCATCAAATTCATTCCATTAGCCCGGTTATGCGTCAAGGCCATGGGACAATAGAGTACCTAGTGAATACGTTGTTGGGGACCATCCTAGGCACATACTCTGACACATACTCTGACGTTTACCACCTTCACCTATGGTTATAGTTTCCATTTTGGTTCGTGCGTCTTTCCTCCTGTTAGAATGTATTAGATAAAAAACATCGTACACCCTCCTGATTGTGTTGCTCTGTTGCTGTTCTTGATTTTTGTAGGACGTTTAATCCATTTTTTGTACTCGATTATTCCAGGTGGACGTGGGCATCTTATTCCATTTCTATCTCTTATGATTCGCATGAAATATTATCGTCTGATAGTAGTTGTCGCTGAATCGCTAGACGTCAGTGGGAAAAATAACTCTCGTGTTCCAAGAAAATGCTACATACTCATCGGATGGAAGGATTTTGGGCTGTGTAGTAAATAATCATTTAATTTTAGGTGGATTCCGAAGCTACCAGAATGTTGTGGATAGTCGCCTAGGAACTGATGAGCCTCTACGATCGACATGAATCTGCGCGAATTGGAAAGAGGGAACATCATCTGACGACAGCCGTCTTAGTTGGTGACGGAGTTCTGATTTTTATCAGCTGGAAGGACCGTGTAAAACTTGAATTTTGCTTTGGTCTCGTGCTAGAATTTAAGTTAGGTTCAACTTTATTTGTAGTCCGTATTATGGTGACATAATGTTATATTTTTAGGGTTAAGTTCTTGGTGTTTCCCGATAAAATTCAATGGGCAGCGATTTTTGGAGATTAATTTTCTCAAAACATAACTTTCTCAATGCCGAATGCTGAAAGTGTGGTTAATTAGACGCAAAACAAAGATGAGTGCGTTGAAAAACTAGACATAACTTGAGCATTTCTATAAATGCCTCGGACTGAACATCTAATTAGGTATACTTCTTTTGGCATTGGCAATGTTACGAATTCAAAGTTGCTTTTGCTAAAAATTGATTGATTATTTGCGGTATATATGATTATTTGATCTTGATTTACTGACTTGTATTTGTCTTCATGTTTTGAATCTTTCATTTATTAAAGTTACGTTCTTATCCCTGCATGTAGTTATAAGAGCGGAGTGAGCCTCTTGTTGATCTTTTCTTCCGCCTGGGCGTTTCTCGCCACCAGTTATATTCTACGACATATATAGTGGCATTCAAGTAAAGGCTGCGCGTCCTGTGCGTGAACTCAAGACATTTTTATTACATGTGGTAGCGATTAGACTTTCTGTTTTGTGTGGGATTTACTAGAGCAAATTTGTGTTAAGTATGGCAATAATTATTTTAATAAACACGTGATTAAATAAGCCACACGCGTTTCATTCGCCATATTCGCCACAGTCGCCAGGGACTCGGCGACTGAATCTCTCTATATGGGGACCATGAGATGAGATGGTCACGGTCGTGATGGTGCCGTGTCCCGACCACGACACGTGTCGTCGTTTGTATTATTAGTCATCAAACGAAAAAAATATAAACATATGATTCAAATAAGAAAAAGATTTCTTCGATCAAACAAAATTAATATAAAATTAAATTAATAATATTCAATAATTTGCGTTCTGCTACCTGGCAGGAGAAGCAAAGCGTTGTTACCTATTATGTCATGGACTTTAAATCGTAATTTGCTTGGAAATGCCACCTCTTGCAAATGTGGCTATAAGCTAAGTTTAAGAAAGTTCATGAAAGCATTTAATAGGATTACAGTTGATAGTCTTCCGAGCTGAAAGATATTTTTGTAATAGTATTGAAGTTATACACACAAAATTACTTAATGTCTGACGAGTCTGTCTTTTGACCCGGCAAAAAAATCTGAAGGAAGAGATTTTCCCACTTACAATGTGTTTAATATAAGGTATAGAAGGTAATAATATATTCAAAATATTAGTTGTTCACGCGTTGCAAGATACGTTTCTGCTTTGAACTGTCACGTTTTCGACCGCGAATTGAAGCGCCATTCAGCGAGCGCGCCATCTCACTCAAGGCGTTTACTACATCATTCTGCAATTTTGTCTCGTTGCCTTGCTCTCCAACCGGCTTTTCGCTTTTTCGAATGCCAAGAGCTGGTTCTTCGCAGTCACGACAAAACCAATGGAGCAATTCAGTTTTCTGGAGAAAAAAATATTCCTCAGAGCTCAACTTCAAACAGCTGATACAAATGAAGTCTTCGCAGCGTTCACAGATGACCGCCTGATCTGCCTCGCTTCCAGAGATCTCTTTGCAGAGTTTGCAAACTTTCATCTCCAAATTAGCTGATTTGATTTTAGCCTTTTGACTAGCAGAACTAGTGGGCTTTTCGATTACCTTTTTTTCTGTGTCCAGCCATCGTACAATGCACGGAGGGAAATACAAGTTTAAAACTGAATTTACTAGGGTAGAGTTGAAGTTAAAGTTCTATTTAAAACAGAATTTGAAATTAAAACTTCAATGAACGGAGAGCACACAAGTTTAAAACTGAATTGACTTGAGTAGAGTTCAGATTCCGTCGCAGACACGCAACTTGCAGAATGGAAGGCGTTAGAAATAGCTAGGGTTTGCCATGAGGGTGGGGGAGGGTATAGGAAGATGAGGCCTGAGCGTGCTCAAGGCTCCGTTGTTCTCCGGTATATATAGGCCTTCGCCGAAAGTTGCTAACAAGCTTCACGCTGCCCTCACTCCTTGCATTGGCATTGTCGGGAATAAAACACTTGTACCAGCCTTTTTTTCTCACTATTCGCACCATTATTACTAAACTGCACTGAAATCGAACCTTTCCCTGAAGTTCTTTTGGTACAAATTGGAGAGTTAAGTTAAACCAACATTGTAAAAAGTGAGAAAATTGGGACCCGCAAACACGAACGTGCGTTCTCGATCACGGCCAGAGAGCAAGTAGTTGTAGATTTTTTGGTGACCCGAAAAGGTTTGTCATTCGAATTTGATCGAATATGGTTTTTGTTTGGAGTTGCCGGAGAATAATTTGAAAAGTTAGTGTCGGTGTGAAACCAGAGTAAAGGTACCATCAATTCTAGGTAAAGATATGATTTATAACATAGTATAGTTATGAGCAGATATGATTAATTTTATATTAATATATATGATTCAGTATATTGGTATAGTACGACAGTAGGTCTTGTGTTATGCATGTTTTATTGAAGACCAGATAAGAAATTTTCTGGTTTATTGTTTCATTGAGTCGGACGATATTTATCGTAGACATTGGCAAATCA